ATTTAATTTTCGAGTCAAAGATGAAGGTAAATTATGAAAGTTTACAAAGAACAAATATAAAAAAAGTATTATGATTTTTTTATATGGCAACTATAAGTTATATTTATTAGATTATTGATGTGTTATGGTAACCCTATTCAATGAGCTATTAGCTTTGTGTTGCCATTACTACAGATTATTATACCGAATGTTGCTTTAACATTCTCCCGGGACGTATGAAGGGTTGATATCTTATAATCACTTTGATTCTGTTTTTAACAATAATTATAAGGTTTTATGGAATATACATAAATATACACATGTGCTTCTTCTTGCTAATATCAGTTTTATAGACTTAGCTTGAATATTTTAATACGCTATATTTAATTCTAAATGTAATATTGAATAGAAAAATTTAAGAAAATCTATTTGATATATAAGAAAATATATAAGCATATTTATGAATCATAGTTATTTAAATTTAAAAGGCTACATTTTTCTTCGTATATGTACGTAGCTTTATTAATGCTTTCGAAAAGATTGATCCTGTCTTAACTCTAAAGAATACATGCATCTTTATTGCATATACAACGATATACTAATAGGTATATAAGTACCTATATGTACTTAGCTTATTTAAAACGATTATATGAAACAACAAAATAAACGAAATATACAACAATATTATTATATATTTATCGTAAAACAGAAACACAATAGAGAATTATATCGTGTATTACATCGCTGAATGATAGAATTGAGACACGCCAATTAGGGAGACAGGAAGCCCGCGCAGGCGCCCTGAGTAACGACTTCCGACTTCACCCTAAACCAGAATAATACGGACCCTTAGGTATATTCAAATACAACGATTAATATAACATAATATTGAAATTAACTAATATTTCGTATTTACTAGGCGTTTTTATACTTTTAACTACGTACTTATTCTCGACGTTTCGGTTACTTTGATGCAAATTGATCACGGATAGTGATAAGGGTTTTATTTTAGTGAATATTCTTTAAAATCTTCGATCTCATTATAATTAAAGATTGTTTTGATTAACTTGCGCTTTTGAACCGGATCAAAAGATATTATTGTGTTGTACATACATTCAAATAAATAAATGTTATGTATTGTACGTAAATATACCTATATCTATATATTTATAGCAACAGATTGAAAGTATGAAAAAGTTAGAAGTTTCTATCATATATAATTCTTAATTCTACATTATTATTTTTAAACTAGTTTTTGCCCGCGACTTCGTCCGCGTTAGTTTCGTCATTAGTAATATACATATGTATAGCTGACCAGGCGAACTCTATTCCGTCTTAGAGGCCATAAATAATCAGGTTTTTCCTGTTTCAATCAAACAGAATGATTGACATATTAGTTAGTTGTCAAATCTAATGTCAAAAAAAGCGTTTGTATGGGAAATAGAAAAGGGCTGTTTTTAGGGTTTTCCCGGCAATTATTCCAATTTTTCTCACCTTTTATACCTTCCCTGAACCTCCACGAACATTTCAAGACTAAGATAAGACAAATCCGTTCAGCTGTACTCGAGTTTTAGCGAGACTAAGGAACAGCAATCCATTTTTATATATATAGAAGATAAATCTATGTATTTGATGAAAGTATCTGTGTTTTGAAGGAGTTTAATCAAAAATATTTTTAATATTTAAACCAAGAAACCACCACCAAATAGTTTCAGGTTTATGAAAATACTAACATATAACTTAAAGTTGTGTACAATATATTTATCTATAATAATATAAATTACTTTATCCCACCTTTAAAGGGAATTGACCGATTTAATGATTTTAGTATTGAACACACAATTTATATGGAGAATAAGAGTATAAACTTCTTTATATGTACATATAAAATGCATAATACTACATGTAATAAATTAAACAAAATAGTTATAATACTGTAAAAGTACTATTTATAATATTGTCATGTTTTTGACAAACTCTATTTAATATGTCAATATTCACTGTCACTAAATAACAAACATAATTGAATCTTAAATAATGAAAAACCAATGACATTGCCAAAATATTACATTCCAGTGCGAATGAAGCCATAGTTTTAAAAAAAATAGTGTCAAAGATATCGACTGTCAAATGCTTATATTAGAAAAATTCTACAATATTATTTTTAACTCAATTCAATAAAAAATGGATAAATACTTCTAATATTTTAATTTTCACTAAAATTTTCTTAAAACCAATGAAAATTTGTCGAAATTAAACCCTATTTGACTTCTGTATAAACAAAACGCAATACCTGATCGATACATTTCAAGTATTTAACAATTTTTAATAAAAAAACACTAACTTTGTACCGTAGTAAAATATTTTTCACATCCAATTGAGTATATTTTTAGCACGGAAGCTGCATCAGTGTCAATATTTTTATCTGTAATCTGATACTTTCAACGGAAACATTTTGACACAAAGCTTTACACGCGTGGCGAATTATTGGACAAAATTATTGTTGATAGCCCACGCGACTTATTAAAAAGTACATTGTTAGTAGGGAAAGAAGTGTATATATATTTATCTTTTTATAATTAATATGGGAATTGAATATAAATATTATTTATCATAGATTAGTCAATTAGTTTAGTTTGAAATTAATATAACACATATATTGAACAAGCTGTGCTCGTAACTTCGTCCGCGTGGAATACTTTTATTGGTCATAATTTATTTTTTAAACAAACATACTCTTCAGCTTAATATTAGTAGGTATATATAATGAGTTTATTTTTATATACCATTTTTATGTACTAATATATACAGAACATTCATTCGTACAAAGTAAATAGGAAATATTTCTATGAGTATTGTATCAAAATCAATATTTTTTGTAACATCCATTCGATACGGTCACCCGGAAACAATCAGACAATGCCCTTTACGAGGTACACGCGCCGACACGTGCTTCTATTTAGTTTAAGTACATATATTGTACACAACTATTGTACAGACTCATCTGGTGTCCAAAATGAATAAGACAATAGAACTATGAAAACAAAAGGTATTCATACCATATAACTAAGTGGTATGTTGACATTATTGCTATATTATTTTGGTAGGCGTTATAATATTTATTGATTTATGATTATAAAATTTATAGTGGTAAGAAATCATTGTATATAGTTTTAAAATTATATAAATATATAAATATGAAACATATTGTTTACATAAAGAAAAGAAACGTAAGGACTGAGGTTGTATTTAATTTATATACAAATAAAAGAAAATAAATAGCAGTATGTACTTAATAGGAATTCCAAACATTTCAATATAAATAAAGTTATTAATTACCAATAATTACTTGTAAGGAATCGTTTCATACTTACATTTAAACGATATGTCTTGGACCATTGCACAAAACATCACGTAATAACAACCCTTCTTTGTCGCTAGCCCCGGCTTACAGTATTCCCTCGACATCTGCTTTGTGGACCGAAATCTATTTAATAGTATCGTATTGCTAATTTCGGTATTAGGAACGCGTTCCGTCGCTTATTAAATTATCTATTCCGTTTGCGGGGATGTCTTTTCCCCTGGGTCTCTCTGCCCCTGTCTGTCTTAAACAGAAGAAAGATCGCTTTAAATCTATTGGAAAATATTTTGTTGTTAATACGGACGTTCATAAAGAAACTTTTATTTTACAACTAGCTTTCCACCCGCAGCTTCGCCCGCGTGGAGTTCGGTTATATCGCGTTTCCAAGAGAACCTTTCAAAAGACTGGGATAAAAACTATCCTATGTTCTTTCACAAGGTCAACTCTATCTCTGTACCAAATTTCATTAAAATCAGTTCAGTGGTTTAAGCGTGAAAGCGTAACAAACAGACAGAGTTACTTTCGCATTTAATTTTATAATAATAGTAGGGATAAACCAGACAGAAAGACCAAACCGTCATTACTTTTAACTATCTAAGATTTCGTAACTCTTGTAATACTTAAAATAATTTAAGATTAACTATGATAACTTTCATTATAACCATTATCAACTAATTTGCTATACTTATCAATTTCCATAATTTACAGAGAAATAGTGAACAGATCATGGTAGGGGGACCACATCATGTGGGGATGTAAAGCACACATCAGAGCTTAGATCTCTCTGTGAATACATTACTCTGTGATGTTAGCACTAAATATTTTGACCGCGGTGAGACTTACTAACACACATTTAATTATTATTTATATATAATAAACTTCAAAAATAATACGACTTACTGTAATAAATTGAAAAAATAACACATAAATCTTCCACAAAACAAATACGAACAAGCAAACTTAATCCAATGATTAAAATTCTTAATACATTATCTTTTCATTTAAAACTACTAGAAGACCCGGAGAACTTCGTATCGCCCTATAATCAAGAAATATCTATTACGTTTTTTTATTTATGTTTTTGGAGTTTTCCTGTAAGCAATAAATCTCCGTGTTTTGAAGTGCGACAAAATGATTGACATACTAGTTAGTTGTCAAATCTAATGTCAAAAAAACGTTTGTATGGGAAATAGAAAAGGGCTGTTTCTATGGTTTCCCCAGTAATTAATCAATTTTTTTCAGCTTTTATACCTTCCCTGAACCTCCACGAACATTTCAAGACTAAGATAAATCCGTTCAGCTGTTCTCGAGTTTTAGCGAGACTAAGGAACAGCAATCCATTTTTATATATATAGAAGAAGAAGATAGAAGATAAACTTCAAAAATAATACGACTTACTGTCATAAATTTAAAAAATAACTTCTAAATCTTCCATAATAAATACGAACAAGCAAACTTTATCCAATGATTACTTTGTAATACATTATCTTTTCATATAAAACTATTACACCCTACACATCTATAGCTCGTCAAGCCAGTGATGCGTAAAACAGCGTTAATTCGCATTTAGTACATAATTATGATGGTGCCAGAATGACCGACTCAATGAACTGATGAATGAAGATGGTACGTAATTACGTACATTCAAGTATCGCTGTTTTCACTGCAGGCAGTATTGTGGAGTGTGGAGGGCTCTCATTGGTTGACCATGAAGCACCACTTTACGTATTGTTGCTGTATTTTTACGTAACCATAGTTTACATAAGGTACGTACTGTTAATACATATATTTATAGCTTATATTATTATCTCAGAATAAAAGTATAGCAAAGTAATGAGATCTAAGACTAGCGAGTACTCATTTAATTGTAACTAATATTTTTTTGGATACTACGCATATTTTATTATTGTAAGTACATACAATGTATGTATCCAAGCAAAAATAATAAAGATCTTATTGTAAAAGACGATATAAAATCATCATAGTAATCCTAAATAAACGATTCCCAGTACATTAAAGCAGGAAGCGGGCCCCGGTCACATTAATGTTATTATTTGGCAACATTTACTAAATAATTTGCTCGTTAAACGTCCTGCGATACGTCCCCTTGTTAACTACTGTATTGTTCGACGCCTCCCCAGCCACTAACGATCGGATTCAACCAATACGGATCTAACATTAATTACTTTCACGAATATTTGTAGCGACATGCTCTTTTGTTGATTATATGATATTAATAACATCGTACAAGCTAGAAGACTTACAGATTCTGCTTTTGATGAGTTTTCTTTAAGCTTGCTTTAGGGATTATTTTTGTGGCTGCAACGGATTTAATCCGGAGACGCTGGGAGGCCAGAGAAATGTTTGCGAACCCTTTTAGATTATGATGCCCTGTGCTACTGTTTTTGCAACCAAGTTTACGAATGAAAGAAATAATTATGTAATTATAAGTTCTTATCTTATTAAAATTAGCAAATTAGCACGTCCATTTGTATAGGAATTGCAAGTGATTCTTGTAAAGCGACGCGTTTCATGATATATGTAAATGTATGTAATTGTTTCACTCCCTCTCCCTACCCGACACTTTTGAACTTACGCCTCACGGAGCCCGGCTCAAAAGCCGTAGAATTTGTATTTGAATAATAATTCGTGAAAATTGCTCCGTTTTCTGAATTACTACGCGTGTTTTATTTATGTTAAACGAACAGTTTAAAAACTGCCGCACGTTAAACAAATTTCAATATATTATATTACACACTAGTTGACCGGGCAGACTTCGTACTGCCTCAATCAAGAAATAAATAATGGCTTATTTATATTTTTGGAGTTTATCTTTAAGCCATAAGTCTCCGTGTTCTGAAGTGCGACAGAATTATTGCCATATTAGTTAGTTGTCAAATCTAATATCAAAAAAACGTTTGTATGGGAAATAGAAAAGCGCTGTTTTTAGCGTTTTCCCGGAAATGCTTAAAATTTTTTCAGCTTTTAAACCTTTCCTAAACCTCCACAAACATTTCAAGACTAAGATAAGATAAATCCGTTCAGTCGTTCTCGAGTTTGAGACTAACGAACAGCAACTCATTTATATAATATATGTTATTAAGATAATAAACAAGAAAATTATGAATATATAAGATATATTTTAAATCAAATTTAATACATATTAAAAAGATGTCTACCATCGATATTCACATTAGATGTTTCGTTCCAAAACTCGTTTGACAGACACCATTTCATTCCATTGAGTCTATTCCACCATAGCCTAAAATATTTGCGAGCTGGATATACACCTTCCATATTGTGAAGACGTTTGCAGACTTCACAAAGGGGATGAGGTTTTACTTCTGATGTTATTGTATAAAGATTAGTCCATTTGAAGTATTTGAGGTAGATCTCACGATTCTTTATAGCCTGGTACATTTTGAACGCTAAGTTGTATGGGTGTATCTCACGTGCGTTGATGTAGGAGCCGGGTGGTAGAAACCTGAAATATATTTGTTTAAAACATCTTTTGATTTAAAATCTTATATGTCATGGTATTTAATTTGCGAAAAATCTTTCTGTTGTGACTTATTTTTGACTAAATATTTCAATAAATTCGATTAATTGATCGATATATACCTAACAACATGTACCTATAGGATATGAAGCAATCGTTTATTTTATTTTCTTCATACACTTAAATATTAAAAAAAAATTAACTTGTCGATAGAACAATTGTATGTTTTGGAAAAAAAACGACTATGAGTTATATACACACAACAGCTCATGTTTTTGTGAAGTATTTGAATTAATAAGTTTATGTTTTTATTGTAACTAAGAAATTATTTATTTATATGTACGGGTACTACAGAGTCAAAACACATTCTTATCCACCGAATAGTCTTCGTATGGTCACTAGTCGTGGCAAGATTATTTACTAACACGTATATATATGTGTTTGTGTGTGTATGTGTGTGTGTATGTGTGTGTGTTTGTGTGTGTGTTTGTGTGTGTGTGTACACAAAACAGTTAGGTACCAGTTTAGTTGAGTTTATGATACGTAAAACATAATTAAATCAAAAAACTATACACCTCGTACTAATAGTATGACTATTATTGATGATCAAGATCAAAAAATGTGGTGAACTTCGAATTTTCATTATTATACACAACTTACCCAAAGAAAGTATAAACATTTTTATTACTATTTAATATCTAGTATTTGATTTTATTACAAGACATCGCTTTTTGGCAATGAAAATAGAATCATAATTGTACCAGACAGTTACCATACAAAGCACGAAAGAACATGAAATAACAAAATAATTCACGTGTTGTATCTTTAGTACTTTAGTTATAATTTTTCATAATAATTAATTTTTTTCTAGGATAAAAGTAAAGATTTTTCCTAAACAATCTATCTCTTTTCTCTATATAGATAATTAAATATAGACAAAAGAGATAGAAAGTCATGACGTCATTATGTAGTACTATTAGAGGTATTGCATTATCCAAAATATATACACCAGTGATATCATCATTATCACTTCAATCAATAATGGTTCATATTCTCTCATAAATTGTGTTCACTTTTCCACCTCATCATTTTCTTAATTTCTTGTAAACAGTACAATCAAAAGTATTAAGGAAATATTAAAGTTATTACCATTTGCTTGATCTTTTGATCAGCACTGTTGGTAGTCATTAGTCAACTACCTTTAGCACTCTTAAATGTAACGAGATCTACGATTTTCGCAAGTTTTCATTTAAATGAAACTAAAATTTTCAGATTACTACGCGTATTTTATTATTTTGAACTACGTACTCCCGACGTTTCGGTTACTTTGCAGCAACCGTGTTCACGGGCAGACGAGATGTGACGAAAGTTTTTAAAAATAATAAAATACGCGTAGTAATCCGAGAATATTAGTTTCATTTACATTTAAATGTAATTAATACAAAGATTACCAACATTTAATAGTTACTATAATTGAAGTACTATCATTATATCAACACGTCCTAAGGTATCGTGACGTACCTGCTGTAGTTCGCTCCCCCATAAACTATAGGTACGGCGTAATTCTCATAGCCGTGCAGAATCTTCTCCGTAACGTAATCATCAGCGAATGAATTCTCAAAGGCCATGTAAAAGTAATAATCTTTGCGTATCATATAACCACAGGCGTTATTAGGACATTTCCTTTTCGAACAGTCGCCATAAACGTCGATTTTTAGTGAGTAATGGAATAAGTGCTCTTGAAGTCTGGTTAGATAGTCGTCTCTAAGACTATCTGCTCTACAATGACTTACGAGCCAGGCCGCCGCTTTGTTTTTACGTTTCAAAATATACCTTATTTTCTTCTTCACAGGGTGGTTATTCTGTTTCCATGTAACAGAAACCCTGGGAGCTACGATTTGTCCCTTAAGACTCCTCACTTGGAAGTAACTCCACACTATATCTGAATCAAGACGATACGTAAAAGTCCAATTGAAATAATCGTCGTCATGTATTTCGCAAGCCGGCACCGTGTACGAAGATTCTAGAGTACTGAATATATATATTTGGGAAGGATCTCGTTTTATCGGACGTTCGTTAGTAGATAGAATGTCTTCATTAAAAATTATAGCATCGAATTTCGTGTAATCACCATCAAAGCGTCCTTTGTCTCTTGTGAAAATACAGTTATCCGAACACTTTATGGTCGGGTATACAATTTTACCGCGTCGTTTCGCCCATTCTAAAATATACTTTGGATTCCTTTCGTGTGAACTTCTCTTAGATTTTTGATTGGATATTGTAATATCACCTTCGTAATTAATTCCAACTGATGTACATATATCATAAAATATATATATGAATGAAAATAATATGCATACAGCCACTGCCTTTAATGGGTAGTCTGTGTTAACTAGCTGAGCCATAATTCTTTAAAAGGTCCATAAAAATATATAAAATTGGAATAACAATCTTCTAAAACTTGATATGTCTACATGACATTGATATATACAGATTATATAAATAAAAATATAAAAAAAAATATGGTGATGTCATATTAAATTATAAAATAGTGAATATAATTACAGTAGAGTATACGAAATGACTTTATGTTACTACACAAAAATTATCATACAAAAATTTGTACCAAAACCTGACAAATTCCCATCAAATATCAGGTTAAAATCAGTGTAAAGAAAACTCACATCCTTTTAACGATAACATTCAGATAACATTCACAGCTTCCACTTGACCGGATATTTATCCTCAAAGGATCCATCCAACAATGCTTAATGTTAAAAATAATCTCGGATTAAGATCCGATCTGTCATGGCGCGTAAAACACTTCAACAACAATCCCTCGAAGTTACAGTTAGTTGGTAAAAAAAAATATACCTACTGACCGCCGTAATACAGTTATTGTTGTCAAAATAATGTATTGTTGAGGTGTTAAGTGGGCAAAAACTGACTGGACAATAGTATTTAATTGAATTATGTTAGGATTTACTCCCGTCGAGAATATGGGCGCCGAACAGATGTGTAGCACTTCCTATGATTACTGAATTGTTGGTTTACTTACATTAAACATTTCGATTATATTTAATATACAAACATTATTAGAAAATCGTCTAAAAATATTATATATTATATATATTTTTGCTTAAACTTATTTCAAAACGCATGCTGTCATTTTAAAATCATGACATTTGAAATTATTAAATCAATGGCGGAAGTAAGCGACAATGGGTAGCGATTTTTTTTTACCACCATACAAATTCCCAAGGGTTAAGTTAAGCTGTTTAAATATTTATGAACTATTTACGTATTGACAAAACAAAATGGACGACAATGGCTTTCACGCATTGTTGGGGCTAGCGAATGTTGCCTCGTGAATTTAATGACCACTTCAGAGCTTCCGATTAGGGAAGTATTATTTCTAATATTTTGATTGTTATAGTTTTGATATAAAAGAAAGTTTTGAAACCGATGTCTTTTTTATTAAGGCATATGTTTATGATTGCTACTCGTATTGGTAAATTCGAGTAGCAATAGAAAAACAAAGGCTTACGTTTTACAGACAATATTTGTTATAAGGATTACGTAATGTTTAAACTTGTTCACACAAAATATATATGACTCGGTCAAGCGTGAGCTGTTAATATACTTAAAACACAGATAATTAATATTAATTTAAATAAAAAAAACTATGTTATTAAGTAAGTTATCTATATATAAGTCAGTCATATAAGTAATAGTTAAAGTTAATCGATGCGTAGTAACAAATCTGTTAATCCACTTATTGTTAATCCGATGTATTGTCAGTTAATTCGATCAATGTAACACTCAGCATTCAGCGGTCTAGTGGTTGACGGGTCTTTGAACGGACGAGGTCGGGGGATGATGTATAGCGAGGAAGATGAATACTTAAATATGATATGGAGATTTATATGAGGTTATACAGAAATATTTATGGTTAAATATTATGGAGATTGGAAATGATTTAAATAAGGTTCTTTTTTTTTAAAAGAACATATGACAATTTGACATTTATGACGTTTAGTTGAAATAAGTATGACTAAATAAAGCATAGGTACAGTTTTATTATTTTATTACTATAGAACCGGTTTTTTTGCTCTTTATTTTGCTTTCAATTTTTTTTTAACAAGTCTGTAATTATAAGATATATTTTATATATAAGTGACACTCGTCTCACATGGAAAGATGTAGGTAGGTAGGTACTTAATATTTGACAAAATCTTTTAAATCAGTATTTTCTCGATTTTGATCAATAATAATTATTGTTAAGGAACAACACTAAACAAAAAACAAAACATGAAGCTTAAACAAACTAGGTATATTAGCTCTACCGCATACACATACATCCCTACTAATATTATAAATGTGAAAGTAACTCTGTCTGTCTGTCTGTTACGCTTTCACGCCTAAACCACAGAACTGATTTTAATGAAATACAGTACAGACAGGTACAGATATAGAGTTGACCTTAAGAAAGAACATAGGATAGTTTTTATCCAAGACTTTTGAAAGGTTCTCTTGGATACCGATACAACCGAACTCCACGCGGGCGAAGCTGCGGCCGGAAAGCTAGTTATCCATCTATTATACTAACAATTCATTTGACACAGAACGAAAAAAATTGACAGACATCAAAAAAAATATTTAAATCACAATATTTGCCATAACTATACTCATATTACTCAAAAACCGGTACATCTTAATCGTAAATCGCAAAATATGACATCCCTATCTTAAACCGTTTGTTATCTTAATCTACAGAAAGATAATAAGAAAAAAAAAACCAACATATTGTGTTTACACAAACGTAGGTGGTAACCTGAGAATTATTCATACAAGGGTACATTGTGACATAGAAATAATATTATTGGGTTCTAATTTCGTTAATCGTGCTATAAAAGTATATTTGAAAGGATCTTTCAACGTTTAACGCGTTGGATTACAATGAAAATAATGTTTGTATTTTATTGCTCTAATAATAAGGTTTAAATTCGAATGTTTTTTTTATGAATATATCTTAATAAAATCAGAAATAATGTTCGTAATGCATCTTATTGTTTAAATAATAAGGTTTACATTTGAATGTTGTTTTTTTTATGAATATCTTTTAATAAAATCAGATTGTTCAAGTGTTGCAAGTATTCATTTTTATTTGCGCTCTCGATTCCCGGAAGATTATTGGCCGGGTGGTTGTCAAGAGGTCATTGTTGGAATTAGTTTTAATTCTAAATTTATTTTTATCAAAATAATATGATAATAATAATATTTTTTTGGTTTTTTTTTATATTATTTAAGTAAAAATTTATTTTGTATAGTTATGTCGTCAAACGGGAGACGCCCTTGCCTAATTAGACGTCGAGACTCCCCTCAAATATTTTTACGGAACGCTTGACTTTGAAATTCACTATATTCATTTCCCTTTCTACCTATCAGCATTATTATAGGTATATGTATTTATGGATTAATAAAAATATCTTGTATAAACAGCCTTTATTTTAAAAACTATATCACTACTTTTTTATAATACAAACACACTGAAAAGCCAAAAATATAACCAAAGAGTCTATATATAAAAGTACGACCAAAGAGTCCATATATAAAAAAAAATATAACAGCGAACTTGTTTCATCTGAAACATAAACAAATTGAGTAACCGCGGAGAAACTCGTCTTCGGCTGTACCTATTTACATAAAATTACCATCCGCCCGCCTCGCTAATACCTCCTTTGTGACGGCAAAATATTTTGCGAACAGTTTACCACACAAAGTCTCTAATTCAATATACAAGCTAAATAGCTGCTGGAATTATTTACTGACGCGATTTGGTTCTTATATAATCTATACATTATTTATTTCTCAACTTTCTTTTGTTTCTTTTGCAATTCTACATTGAAATTGTTACTTTTATTGCTAATGTCAAATTTAAATCATACTTTCGGTGAGTGAATGAAAACATTCCAAATTCAAATTTGATATCCTTTTTAAATAATCAATGTCAGAATCAATTTCACGTCATATTTTTTTGCAAAAATTATTAGTGCTGGCAACATATTTTAATTATTTTTTTATTCTCACACCAAATATGGCGACCAATGACTGCTTTTCTGTACACTATCCACAGTTATATAAACAAAGCAAACATAAAATAAACGGTCTGTTATAAATTAACAGCACAAAGCGTTTGTAACGTAGGCGTGGCGTCACGCCTCCGTCTTGGCAATTAGAACAACAATGGAACAAGGATAAATCGATTTACATGAATTGCGATTCGAAATTAAGATCGAAATTTATTTAAACATCGAATATTTATTACAAATATAGACTAGCTTTAGCACAGAGCTTGCATATTAATACTGTATGTGATATTAAACGATGAAATACACTAATAAATATAGATTAACTTAAGAACAGAGGTAAATATATTTTTTTATATAAATGAAACTGAATTTATAAAATACAGCTACAATTAAGGTGTATTTCTTAAGTTTGGTTCCAAAAGACCTATTAATAAAACCTCTTTAAAATCGGTCTAGCTGCAGTAGAATCATGTATATTTAAGCTTAAACCTTATATATAACCCGCTTATATATAAAAAATTGCATATATTGATATTTTATTATGTATAATATATTTTTCTTTAAAACTGACTACTATTTTATATAAACCGCATCAAATTATTCACCTCCGTTCCATCTGTTATCCGCGGCTTCATTTAACGTGATCGTGACGTTGTTTTTTCGTCAATCAGTTTGTTTAAACTGCATTTATTTAATACAAATTAACTGTTTTTTATAAAACATTCATAAATAAAACTTAAATGTATAGTACCTAATGTATGTTTGTGTATTTTATTAGCTATATGTATGTACCTATGTAGTTATTAGCTATCTACGTACATTATTTTTTTCACACTCATTCAATATTTCTCTACGAATAAAAGATATACTTATATATATCAAAAACTTTAAAAGATATTATAGTATTATTTTTTAAAGTCCCTATTTAGAAAAAAACCTTTACCAACATATAAGTGTTAGGTACATACCTATCTTACTTATAAGTATAAGTAATTATCTACAAAAGAGTAATTAATTTAAATCGGATAAAATAAAAAAAGGGATCTTAAAAGTAATTAGTTAGTAATCTACGCAGATTAAAAATAACTCCCAAGAGAATGACGTTTTATAAAGAAATAATAAAATGTAAGACTCTGTTTTAAAGATTTTATTAATGTAATGTATAAAATTAAGTAAATATTTTTAATATTCTTAAGAAATCTTCATTACACGTAAATAATGTCTCTTCTTGTTAGGATACCTAAGTTTTAAAAACCCTTACTTATTTATTATACAATTAAGTAGACAAAATATGGATTACATTACTATAATATATTAGAAGGTTTGGAAAACAAAATTTTACTTAACCAACCTAACCTTAAAATGATTACTTATACCTAAATCAGTTAAAATAATTTTAATACAAAGAAAAAGATCTAGGTACCTACTTATAAATTAAAGAGTCGTTTTAACAAGAATTGTTAATGCTATAAGTAAATAAAATGGATACTATTACGTCATTACTGAAGCTATTCATTATTAATTAGGGTGTTATTCAATATTTCATTGTAATTTCTTATTTATAAATGGAAACAAATGTTTTGAAAGTATCTTATTAAAATATCGATTTCTATGGACGGAATCGAAACATTGGCTTTATGTTAATAAAAAAAAGAATAATAAATTTCATATGGCAACATTTTCAATAATCATTTAGATACTATTATTATAAATCTCGTAATCAAAAAAAAACTTATAAAATTTAAATAACAAATAAAATCAATTATAAATTTAACACGACCGAGTGAGCGGGCTGTAATTTCCGTAATTTCCTTATTCTGAAACCATTCTGAAACATTGCTTTTCACAAAGCCATCGTGGAGACAGTAAACAAAATGGCGTATTTAAATGGGCGGCAACTGCATTGTTGGCACACGGCGTCTCATCGATATCCGTCTTCCATCTCTTTCGCACTTAGGCTTAAATCTCTTTATTTTCCTTTCTCATTCACTACGACACACAACCTCTTTACGTACAAGCTGATACAAACTCTAATACGTTATAATAAAGTTAGTTTTTGCATATTCTATTGTGAGGGTAAGCTGTATCACGGCAGTTTACCGCGATATGTGAAACTGTTGCATATTTTTCTATCCCTCTCGCTCTTGTTGATGTAATGGTATTTTTATAGTGTCATCTCGCTCACCCTCGTCTCCTGAGAAGTAATGTGTTGTTGGTTGTTGTGATATCTCCAAAATAACAGGGAAGTACTCGCTACGAAGTTGTCATTTGTAACAGTTTTGAAAAGGAGAGTCAGCAGAAAAATATACAGAAAGAAATATTTAAAAAAATTGTATACACTTATGTGTTTAGAAGTTACGATTAAAAATTAAAATGTCTTTAAAAATCTAAGAAATTGTAAATAAAAATCAAGTATTTACAGAACAGAACAGTACCTTACAATTTTAATAGCTTATTTTTGAAAAAATACATATAATTCCACACATTTTATTCTAAAATTTATCAAAAAACTTTGAACTAAATAAGCACTTATAATATTAATTTGCTTAATTAAATTTATATAATAAAATAAAAATTAAATAACATTAACAAACAAAACATAAGCTGAATAACAAAAACCTAAGTCACAAATTATTGTATATAAAAAAAAACACAACATAACTTACATATATAAGTCACATGAAGATCATAAATCACTTCAGTGTGTTGCGATCCGTACCCAAGGCAGGGCGTCGGGAGTGGGGCGTTAAACAAAAACACGTACACAAGAAGCTGGTCCGTCCTGATTGGCCGAGAGCAGCCCCTCGGCTGGAGCGGAGCTCGCTGATGCAGCATTCAGTGAGCAGACGTCAGACAGGCGACATGTGCAGCGAGGGCGCCTGGCCGAAGGACGCGCCGTCCGTCACCGCGGCCATAGACCACTACAGACTACAGCTGTACAACTATGCCGTCGCTGAAAGACTTAGATTATACCCACCGTCACCCTGCTATGGACCTTACGCGCCTAGACTGGCTTTATCAATGTCCTTACTCCAACAACGCGCGCTACAACCTGAAGAACCTAAACCGCAACACAGCTATATAGGACTCATAGCGATGGCCATACTCAGCTCGCCTGATCGCAAGCTCGTGTTATCTGACATATATCAACATATACTGGACAACTACCCGTACTTTCGTTCCCGTGGACCAGGCTGGAGGAACTCTATACGACACAATCTATCGCTGAACGATTGTTTCGTTAAGGCCGGCAGATCTGCTAACGGAAAGGGACACTACTGGGCGATACACCCAGCGAATATAGAGGACTTTAGAAAAGGGGATTTTAGACGACGCAAAGCTCAGAGGAAAGTTAGAAAGCATATGGGGCTGGCTGTGGATGATGATGGGGAAGATTCGCCCTCACCTCCGCCGCAGTCACCGCCGCCGACAGCGCTGCCATTGCCTTTCTGGGGCGCCGGCAGACTGCAAGGAGTCCAACCAAGGAAACGGCAGTTTGATGTAGCTTCATTGCTAGCACCGGACGACGCGCCAGAGAAACGAGCTAGACCGGACAGCAGTGAGGAAGAAATAGAAGAAGATATAGACGTTGTAGCCAGTGACCAAGAAGAGAATAGAGAAGAAGAACCACGAATACCGCTCACACCAGCCGCACACTATCCTTTACTAGGCGGATGGTGGCCCGCACTAGATCCTGCTTTACTCCAACAATTACGACGCCAAGCATCACCATCCCCAAACCCACCGGACCAACGCCTTCCGGACACCTAAATCCCAAAACACCCTGTATAAATGTGAATAGTGTACAATCAGTATTAAAAGTAGTGATGTGCTTATATACAATGCTTTTTTAAACCGTTTTTCGAACTGTCACTATTTAAACGTCACTTTAGATGACATTTCGTTTAATTTTTTTTTGTGTTAAAAGACAGTGATCGCCGTGTAGTGTATGGAAATTATTTTGGAAGTCTGATAACGACCAACTGTAGATAATCACACTATTTGTATATATAAGTCATTAATCATTGTTATATAGATTGTGGATGTTTGTTTTAGAATCCGTCGGGTTTAGTTATATTAATAAATAGAATTTATTCCTAAATATATCATCTTTTCTTTGCCTTATAACAGCTGATGCGCGAAAAATATAACAAATAAGTAAAAAAAATCATATAAATTTATGCTTTCAAAATATTTGTTTTAACATTTTTCATATAATACAGCTTATTCTAAATTCAGTTATCTTCAAGAGATTTACTAGAAGATAATTACTAGAAAAACGAATTGTTTTGAGTCATACCTCGACTTACTTTTGAATAATAACGTCAGAATAGAAGAAAGCAAATGTTTTAATATCCATATTTAAATTTAAATTCATAAAAAAGGTTTAATAGATATTGTTACGTAAAATAAACAATTAATTAATATATTATTAATTTACACGAAAACCTTTTTGCTCTAATGGCTGAATAGAACCAGTTAATGCCTTCATACAATAGGTGCATTAAAAAACATAGAGTACTTATTACTGAAAACAAGCAATTACAGATTGCACAAATATTAATGTTTATAAATTAATTATTTTAAGGTTGAAGCTTTATTCTTTTTTGTTCATATCCGGGATTGTATATTTCTAGGTAATGCCAATGAGTGTTCCCACGTTACATATTAGCTAATGATGCGTTTTTTGTTATACAATAATACGAATACAAATAACCTTTAAGCGGCTTTAAAGCGCTTCTATGAAGTTAGTTTCTGAATTTTCATGTGTCAAAGAACAATAAAATGAAACAATTACAAAGGAAGAATCGTTTTAGGATTAGACGGAGTTTATTTTAAATGATTGTTTCGATGTTTTCTTCGATATTTATTAATTTGAACTTGTATAGTTCAATATAATATTAGTAATTACTATTTATATGGAGTTTCAGGTTACGGTAAGACAAAGAAATTATTTTTTTTCTCTAGATATAGGTATGTTGTTCTGGAATCCTTTTTAACAAATTAACCTGACGATAATACGGAATAGTTTTATGTTAAAACTATATAATATTATGAATATTCAAGACGAACTATTTAATGATTATTTATTACATAAATAAAGCTAATATTTTCTGATTTAGGTACTCCGCGTTTAATATTAAACTACGCACTCCCGGAATTTCGGTTACATACAGCAAAATGTACGTAGTTTAAAATGATACAAAAACGCGTAGTTTATCCGAAAATATTAGTTTTATATAAATAAATACTATAAAAAATCTAAGAAATCATAGTATTACTACAATATATTCAAATTTTAACCTAATTTTATCATATATAACCTTTTTTTGACATCAGATTACACAGATAACATTCCACGTATTAACTCTACGTACACAAAAGCCTATTTTGTGTAGTTTAATATTTTAAATAGTTTTCTCACGCCCCACAATACTTGTGCTGAGCCGATTTATGAATCACGTTTTTAAGAAAACCAAATAAGTAAGTACTTATTTAGTTCGTTCTTATAATCAATTATTAGTGGATTTTCGTATGTAGGTACTTTAGCCAGGATTGCAAATGTTGTGTGTTTTTGGACAGTTTCAGCGTTTTTGTTACCTATACTAATTCCGTATGTGCATGAGAAAGTTTGTACAGAAGAATAGGTGTATCTATATTAGCTCCTTTTCTGTACTTTGTATAATTATACAGTGGGTTTTACGTAAGTTATGTACATAAAAATAAGAAATATACGTATTATATAATATGTAAGTAGGTATATTGCAATTTCCGGATCATTATATAAATATTAAAAATGAGATACAATAGTTATGTATAGATATTAAAATGATCAAAATTCTGCTATATCATAATCTTATCAATGTATTGCTTCATTCACACTGGAATCGTGGAATATCTTGCCAATTTCAACGTTTTATTTGTTAAATGATTTATAAGCAAATAATTTCATTATTTTGTTTCTAATAATTAATCATATTGATGTTTATATCGGTTACCAATATAGGTACTTACCGTCAGTTCTCATTGTCACACTAGGTACATACGGAGAGTTAATAGTATGTCATTCATAATCTTCGTATATTATAGTATTAACGTAGATTATTGAATGAGAAACGGAAGACGATACGTATGTAGTGTGCTTATATACTTATAGTAAGCATACAGCTTTGAAGATAATATTTAATTACTTTTATTAAATTATTTAGTAGTAAGCTTAGCATGAAAGGAGTTTTGAATAGAATCAGTATTGAGTTAAAAGGTAATGACTATTGTTTAATATTATGACTTACGAATAATATCAAAAATTAATGCTTCTATTAAAGTTAAAACGTGAAATTAATATGTATAACAAATGAAACTTCAGCATTCAATGTATTCATAATTCACAGTGCGTGTGTCGGGTCCATCGTTGTAGTGAGAGGAGCTTCAACAGTGCCTGGGACTTGTGACCCAGGTGTAGGTTTAAAGTGTAAACTATATAGGGGAGAGTTGGTTATATCGTACTAGCATTTAAATCGTACCACTTCTAAATTTCCCATTTAATGAATATTTTTTTCTACACTGACAACGCCAAATCGTGGCCCTGCACCATCCCTCTTAACCCACTAGTTTAAATCGACGTGAGTTAACAACTGTGCAAGTAATAAAAGAAAAACATTTTTTGTAGGAATTAATATAAATATTGTCGTACATTCGTAAGGAGATAACTCGTAATCAAGGTAAGCTATAATTATTCAGTTTTTTTTTTATTTTTCCACAATTGTATACTAGATTATTGGGGGTTTTTGTTGCGTGTCTAAGTTTTGAGTTTATGGCGGATATTTGCTTTTGTTTTAGAAATGCCTTAGTTGGTTTAATCGTACCACTTGCAGTTGGTTAAATTGTACTGGTACGATTTACCCGACTACCAACCGCAAGTACCTATAGTACTACCGCAAGTACGCATAGTGAGTACTACCGAAGGCCAAGAACAAAAGTTATAAGAGGAAACGATCTCATTCCATCACCAGTAGCGATGATTCAGGAGAGACACTTGTTGTAGAACTAGATGATGATGATGACAGCGATGATTATCTTGAAAATATATGTCGAAAGTGCAATTGTTCTTACTATGATAAGAAGGGTCCAAAAGTTGATTGGATTCAATGCGTTCGCTTTAAACGGTGGCTACATGAGACGTGTACTTCGAATCCAGACATTTGTCATGATTGTTTTCATTTAGAAATATGCACAATAATTATATTACAAATAACATTCTTGTTAACTGATACTTTATTATTACTGTTTTTTTTTTGTCTCATTTTTATTAGTTATGTTGATTGATCTCATTATCATAGTATAATCATGTTATTTTACTGAGAAATCTTATAGTTCGTTTATATAACCTAAGAGTTAAAAATTATGTTTCTATTACCTAAATGATATAAATAATATTGTTTTGTTACTTACCTAACAATTAAAAATAAATAATTTGATTTAGAATTTTAATGTTTTTCAATCAGTGGTACGACTTAAACACCCATGGCACGATTTAAAGACTTAGTGGTACGATTAAAACGACTAGTCGGCTAAATCGTACCGATGGCAAGCCTCTATAAAAAGGCATTTTTAACAATGTTAGAATAATCGCAAGGATCTGTTCTCTTCTTCTTAGGAAGCTAAAATATGAAACTTTATTTTACATATGTATTAATTATTATAAGACGTGTTATAGTCGAAATATTTGAGTTAAAGTGAAAAGTGGTACGATATATCCGACTCTCCCCTACCAGATTTTGTACTAGATAATATCTGTTCTACATTCTCCTTATATACTATAATATAAACAAATGAATATATTTAATATATATAATAAATTAACTACGTAAATCTAGCCTCTTTGTATTCATTGAAGTATACAAATTTTAAACCATTTATTGAACAACAATCCCTCAATCCTAAATACCTGTTATCACGTGTTATCAAGCAACAATAGAGTTAGTGATAATCTGTGGAATAATGAATTAACTTAGAAAAAAAGGTGACGTGTCAGATGCGTCAACTTCCTGTAGTATGAAGCGAAATACATGAGTTATACAAAAGAGGTTTTAATGTACATAATATTGGCAGAATATACTGTGCACGTTGCACCGAAGACGTTTAAAAACAACCAACCAAGGAGGTTTTAATTTTATGTAAGTATAAAAAATTATTTGTCGTATTTTTAGTAGGTTTGATAGCCTTTAATGAATTAAGTATAATAAAAATTAAGGTACCTTATAGTGCATTTAAGTAAATAATACGATTCAAATGTGTAGGTTTTAAAATTCCATTTTGTATTTTTGAGTAATGAATGGTAGGTAAGCCATTAGTTTGAAGTACTGGTAACAAAATATAGGATTGATTAAAAGTAATTCATTTAGGTCGTCATACGATATATTTTTTTAGACGTAGTAGTTACTTATTGTTTAGAAACTATGTAATATCTTATAAATGTACTTTATTGTACTATTCTTAATATACATATATATAATTACTTCCATTTAGGTACTTATTTACCTAGTAATACTTTATGGGAAAAATATATACAAGTGCCAATCGCTACAATGTCCAAACTATTTAAAATACCTAAAGCTCATTTCCTGTTAGTATTAATTCAAATGTTTTATCATTGTTACAGATAGAACATTAACATAGGAACATTGTAATGCCGTATTATATGATAAATATGTATGTTCATTAAAAAAACTTCGTGAAAAAATTGTAATAAATTTATTAGAATAAAATAT